AAGAGCTGCCAGGCAAGGAGGGCAATCTCAGGGTGGAATTGAGAGGAATGGACTGATTGCTTATAGGAACTATACAAGCTGTGACCTATTGGCGTGGGGGACGGGGGTGGGGGTGGGAGATGGAGTTTCAAAACAGACGCTAGGAACTTGGGAGGGGGCTGGCATGAGGAAAGAAGGAGGGCAGAATGGTCTGGGATATGAAGAGTTTGGAACATCCTGGGTCAAGTGACTGCCATCGCCTGTGAGAGTAGACAGGTCCTGGATGGCCCCAGAGGATGGGACAGAGCCAGTGGCAGTGAGAGGGGAGCCCCTGCCCACAGGAGTCAGGTCTTCATCACCCCAAGCCCAGAGGACAGGAACAGCCTTCCAGCTGGTCTCACACTTTCCCGTGTTTTCCTTTCCGTTTCATTCTGTTTACCAGCATTTTCACCCTGGCTCTGCCTTCTTAGGGACAGTGATTAGGCCTGGAAGTCATGACCACTGCACCTTTTCGAATTTCATGGTGGAAAGAGTCCTGAAGATTATTTTGTCCAGTCTTCAATCCCATGATGGAGTCCCTTTAGAGATTCCCAACAAAGGGCTTCCCAGCCTGGCCAACAGCCCTCCAGTGACAGTGCCCGGGGCTCCTCCGTCCCGAGCAGCCACTCCATGCTCAAGCTGTGCCAGGGCTTCCTACAACAGGGTCTGCTCCCCTCAAATCCTCACTTCTCAGCTCAGGTTCTGCCTCTGGAACCACTAGAATAAGCCTTTCCCTCCGCTTCAAGCCAGCGGCCATGTTGTTTCCCACTCACAGAGCCCCTTCTCAGCCTTTAGCGCCTCCTCATATCCGCTCCAGTTTGTCAGCGAGTTTCTTCAAGGGTTTTATGGAGATGGGGGCCTAGAGACAAAGTCTTTATAACAAAAAAGGACTTTTGAACTTAGGACCCACTTCATTTTATAGATGAGGAAACTGAGAGGTTAGGTCACTTGCCCGTGGTCACACAGACAGCAAGAGACAGGGCTGGGCCTCAAACCCCGGCTCTGATCTTCCCCTGCCACCCACTGACTGGTGACTAGCCCAAAGCAGAGGGAGGTGATCTTGGTAGTTGACACCACGCATCTGTTATTGTCCAAGATCACGCTAGCTTTTCCGGGGAGGCAGCCCCATCTCCCTGTTGACGTGTCGAACTTCAAATCGACTAAAACCCCTAGATTGTTTTATAACTTCATTTTCTTCTGATTGTAAAGATAATATATGCTCATTGTAAAAAAAATTAGAAAATACATAAAAATATAAAGTACAAACCTTCATAGCACTTCCTGTTGTAAAGTTCCCCCACCCTACACTTGGTTGCTTTGTTATGGGTATAAAAACAGGACTCTGCCTTCATCCCCGTTAAGGCCCTCTTGTTGGGTCCCAGCCAGCTCAGGATCTCGTCTCTCAGAATCGTGTTTTGTTACCCGTTCTTATTGGCACCTGGGCAGGGCTCAGAAAATGCCTGTGGTGTGGCTGACTGAATGACCCAAGTATCCAGGTTGTTGATGGAAATACAGACATCCCTCACTTTACTGTGCTTCGCTTTCTTGTGCTTCACAGACGTTGCATTTCTTACAAATTGAAGGCCAGGCCCTCCACCAGCAAAAAGACTATGACTCACTTTATTGCAAAACTTTATTGAGGCGGTCTGGAGTCGAACCCGCAGCATCTCGGAGGCATGCCTGCAGTGCGACCTGCTGCCCACCCTATTGCCCACCTCCTCTCTCCTGAGTCTGATCCCATTCTTTTCCTCCCCAAAACACCTTTCCTTCTCTTTTGTTCTATTCAGATCCTCCCATTTTTCCAGCCCAGCTAGATCACCACCTCTTCCAAGAAGTCTTTATTCTTTCAAATACAAAAGACTGCTTTTTGGGTTCCATAGCATCTGTAGCCTGGCCATACCATTTGTCCTTAGTTATATATTGACATGCATTAATCTCTTCTCTGTCCTGGCTAAGACTTATTTCCCAGTCAATGGAGGATCGCCCCCCCCCCCGCGCCCCCGGCCATATTTTTTTGTTTTCCTCATGGCACCCATCCTACAAAGTCTGCAGATTATTATGGGCCCTCAAAATGTGACTGTCTGGCCTAAGCCTGCTAGGGAAGGGCTCCTCTGAGTGATGTCCCACCTTTGAGCTCATCTGAAGAGTGGGAGCGAGAGCAGAGGCTCAGGGGCAGCCCCAGGACCCCCCACTCCCATCTCTGTCTGGCTCCTCTTAAAGTTTACATAGCAGTTAATCATCTGGTTTCCCAACAATGGGTTCTGCTTATCCTTGGACACGTAAATAGGGGATTTGGTTGGCCTTTCACACTGGAGCTTCTAGAGATAAAGAGAAATCCTCTGTGCCTACTTATTTAAAGAGACATAGGAGGGTTAGTGGCCCTTTCCAACCTGGGCTTCTCACAGGGAGCCTTAGAGGTCAGATCAACGTTCTCCTCTTTCCTCACAGCACCAACCCTTCTCACGTCTCCTGGAACATCATGCCAAGGGCCCAAGCCTGGCAGCTCCCCTCCTGTTCCTCGTCCATCTGGCAGGGGCATGATGGAAAAACACTGGCCTGGGACTCTGGTATCAGGGTCCCCAGAGCTATCAGGTCCCCTGAGAGATCCTGGGTAGGTAATGGAGGACAGGTCATCTCTAAATTTTCTTCACTTTGGGTTGCCTCGAGGTGCCATGCTGGTCTCTAGATCACAGTGTACTAAGTGCTTCCAAGCATAGACCCTGAGCCTGTCTGGTTTGTGTCCCAGCTCCATTACTCATTTTTCAGGGGACTTTGGGCCAGCTACCTAACATCGTTCTGCCAGGTGGTGATAACCCCTACCTCAGAGGTAGCTGGAAGATCAAGTGAGCTCATGTGCCTGGCACAGGACAAGGGTGGCCATCCCTATAGTTAGGCGTCTGCCTGGGAAGTGACATGAACTTTGTGCCCTATTATTTGGGAATGCGGCTCTTCCTCCTGTGGTCCTGGCAGAATGCTGAAAAGAGCAGCCAAGACTGGACCCCGAGTTATTGCCCCAGCCTGTGGAGACAACCCGGGGGAGGCCCCACTGCTGCTGCCGAGAGCAGAGCACGTGGTCCAGGAGTCAGCAGGCATTGACTACCGAGACCCTGGGCAGGCCACTTAATCTGTCTGGGTTGGGTCCTTGTCTTGACGTGAGGCCCACTGATAACCAGAAACGGTAAAACTTTGAACAGAACGCATCAATTGTTTTGATTCATTTTCCTGCAAGTGGAAAGAGGCCTATAAGACAAAAAAGCAGAAACATAGAAACACCATAGTTTCTCTGATTTTAATAATTGGGGAGAAAGTTATAAAATAGAATAGACAACACAGAACCTTGTGACTTCCTCAGATTAGCAACAAACAAGAACACAGGAATGTAAACAGAGCTTCCAGATACTGTTGTTTTATACTATATTAACTTCCAGAATACAGCAGCTCCCACACACTCTAAGGTAAAATAAAACAAGTCTTCCAGAACAATTCTCCACATTTGGAGGGAAGTCCGAGAGGCTCCTGCCCCTCAGCCTGGAACTGTGCCCACGCCGCTCTTCCAGGGTAGCCCAGCCGCTGTGCTCTGTGGACCTCTTTCGAGTTTGCCTTCTCTTTCTTCAGCAGGCTGGCTCCCACCCCGGCCCGTCTCTCCCCTTTGACCCACATCCCTTTCCTGTTATTAGCAGGAAACCCAGCCAAGCCAATAGAGCCTGGTCGAGTCCCTAGGATGGAACCAGCCGGCCCAGAGATGGCGACTCGCAGGCGCTCGAGACCCAGTCTCGCCATTTGAAAAACAGTCCCCAAAGAGGCTACAAATATAATTTGTTTAATGTCTAATACTGTCCGCCCTCTGCATAGATTTCTGATGTGTCTGGTTATTATTCTGTCCCAATTACTTGCTGCTTTCAGGTTTTTTACTCAACCAGGAAAAGAAGAGACCTGGCAGCCTCACCCTGTGTTTTCAGTACTTCAGGTCATGGGCTCTGAGTCTCTCAAAGGTTCATCATCCCACCTGGCTTACCCCTAAAGCTGTAGTTGGACAAGCCCTCGGCCTCCAGAACGGTGAGTTGTTCCACAAAAGGTATGTCATCAGGAGACAAGGAGGGCCTCGGAAACCCCGAGGCTTGCTTGGAAAGGATGTGGGTGGGAAGAGCAAAAGGCGTGATGTGCTGTCCCAGCGGAAGGGGGAGAACAGAAAGGGCAGTGTAACCAGGCAGGCTCAGGTCAAACATCTCAGGAGGGACGAAGGACGGGGTGGGTCAGAGCAGCCACCCCAGAGCCAAGGCCCAGAGGAGGTGTGAAATGTCCAGGATAAATAGAACCACATGGGGAGGGAGATAAGCCAGCTCCATCCTCTTAAAAATAGTCGCCATTGGCACCAAAAATATATTAATATCTATACATTTGTCATCTTTAAAAAAAAGGAAATAAAACCTCCTTGGCACCTTGTAGTGGATTTCTTAAAAGTGAGGTGATATGTGGAAAGGTCTGTTGTGTGTGCGCCCACACAGGTCTACAGCTGTGCACATGTGTGCCTCTTCCTGTGGGAGGGCAGAGCCCCCGCAGCCCTGAGCGTTAGAAGCACCACCAGGTGGGCTGCTGCCAGCTCCTCCGCTGCCAGGGTTTGCAGGGCGCTCTGTGCCAGTGCTCCTGGCTCTGCTGTCCATGGGACCAGCAGCACCTGCCCCTGTGCTCAAGGCAGAAGGTGACAGGATCACCCCATGTACCCTCTCTGGGAAGTAAGTCCTGTCCCTGTAGGTGTGCTGCTTCAAATGGCAGGCAGTCCTAGTCCTGGCCCGCCCCCTGCCCGGGACTTCCACGCGTCTGCGCAGGCTTGGAACGGCCTCGGCCCGTTGTACAAAAGTGCAAACGTGAGCAGAGGTCAGTTAGGGGCCCAAGTGGGCACAGGCACCCAGTGGTTCTGGTCTGGATCACCAATGTTCCAGCAAGAGGCCGCAGGCGGGTGGACTGGCCATGTGGCAGGGTGATGGCGGTTGGCTGGGGCACTGCCACTCAGAGGTGGTGGTTGCCCTGCAGCAGGGAGGTGACAGTGTTCTGCAGAGCCACAGCCACCTTCTTGGAGGTCTTGCGCAGCAGCGGGCTGTCGGGGTGTTGCTCCTTCAGGTGCAGGACATGGCCCTCCTGGCTTTCAGATGTGCAGCCACACTCCTCGCACACGTACAGCTTGGCCCGCCGCTCCTTGTACGCATACTTCTGCTGCACACCGTGTATCTTCTTGAGATGAGACTCGAGAGAGCAGCGCTGTGTGAAGGCCTTGTCACACAGGCTGCATTTGTAGGGTCGCACGCCTGCGGGAAGGACAGGGTTGGGCGTCAGGAATCCGACAGGGAGCCTGTCAGCGGCTTCCCTTACACAGAAAGGCCAGGCCACCTGCCACTCCCCAAGTGACCTCACTGATGAACTGAGGAGGCCTTCTGCCCTGAGCTCCAAGATGCCCCTCCCAGGCCACCCGTCACCCAAAGAGCAGGCTTTGTGCAGGTTCCCCCGTGGCCTCAGCCAGGCGCCCAACCACAGGGCTCCTCTCACCAGTGTGGGTGCGGACATGTCTCTTCAGGTCGAAGGTGTCATTGAAACCCTTCCCACAGTAGGTGCAGAGGTGCCTCTTGACGTCGTTGTGACACTTCATGTGACGATTCAGCATGCGCTGGTAGGTGAAGGCCTTCTGGCAGATGTGGCAAGTGAAGAGATCTCCACTGGGACTGTCCCCCAAGGTCACCTGTGGGCGAGGACAGTGTTTGTGACAGACATCCATGATTTGGGACTGCAGGCTGGTAGATTGGGAGCACACAAATGCCAGCCCCCAGAAAAGTGGTGCCCAGCCCAGAGGCCACATCTCTGTGCCATTGGCTCACAGAGATCAGTGGTGGCCAGGCTGGAAGGAACCTTTGGGCCAATGGTCCCCTTTCAAGGTCACCGCCACCCAGCCCCTTCTTTACTGGAGATGGGCAGCCAACTCCCTGTAGAAACAGCCCGATTCATCGTCAGCAACTCCACTTGCTTGAAAGTTCTCCCTTCACTGAGTCCAAATCTTTCTCTGTAGTTTCTGCCTCCATTCTCATCCTATGCCTTAGGACAGGAGAAAATGTCCACTGCATGGTCTCTGGAGCAGCCTTCCCAGGCTGAGGCCACTATTGTGAGCCTGGAGTCCCCTCCAGGTCAGCCCAGCCCCCTGATTTTACTTGAGTCAGACCTGACATGGTCCCTTTACCACCTGATGCCTCTCTTGCTTATTAATATTTTTCTTCTGTAATTATGGAAAATCTCCAATCTATTCAGAAGTGGAGATGTGTTCTTGATGCTCACCTCTGTTTTGTTCTAAGATTGCTTGTACTCTGTGGGTGGCCCTGTCGCTGGCAACTCCTCCTGAGCTCCCTGGACACCAGGTGCACCTTGTCACACCATGTCACCTCCTCTGTACTGCAGTAAATGTCTCTTGTTGCCAGCACTGGGTAAATGTCCCTTACTGCCAGCTAGTCAAGACTTTTGGGTCAGGACTCACTCCACACATCTGCTGTCCTGTGCCCTCTTTTCTCTCTCCACACCCTCCCTTCCCACTGAGGCCCAAGGGTTGGGAGGAAGGGTGTGAGGAGGGTCAGGGGCACTGCTGGCTCTCCTGCCAACTGCCCAGCACACGTCTCAGTGGATCCCCCCTCACTACAACACACACTTGGCCTCTGCAGGTAACAGGAAGGGACAGCATTCCACTGCCAGTTTTCTCCAGACTTTTGGCACATAGGCTAGTGCCACGAGAACCCTTCCACTAGATCACTGCTGGCAGGTGCCTCCAGGTCCTGGAGCTTTCCGGAACGCAGGCCCAGCGAGGGACAGCCCTGCTATTTGTGCACTCCTCGAAAGCAGGGGCTTCTGTTGCCTGGTGTACAACTTACTGCTTCCACTGCTGAGCACAGCGGAGCACTCGCCAGGCCTGCCCCATGTGCAAGGCCTCGCATGCTGATGGGCCAGGTGCAGATCGCCAGGCATGTGCCTCAGTGGGCATTTAGCCACCAAGCGGACTCCAGACCTCATTCTTAATGCAGCCCAGACTGGGGCCCAGGAGAAGGTGCTGAGCTGGGCTTGTGTCTCCCTGACTTTCCTAGGACTGAAGTGTAAAGAAGTGACTCCCCTTCAGGCCAGAAACGGAACTAAATCCCTAGAATGGACTCCAAAGGGTTAAATGTCTTTTGACCCTCACTGCGTTTTCCCAATGTATGACATTCTCACTTTAGACTCACTTCTTTTCCAGTCCTTGTCTGTGCCCCAGTGAGGCTCACTTCTCTGCAGAAACCTGGACCCAAATCCAAGGCCAGTCTCTGCCTAGGTCTCATTTGTGCCATGTCGCCTGGCTGTACACAGGTCTACACACACGGCCCGAGTCCTCAGAGACAGCGTGAGGGTCAGTACCTTAATCTTGGAGCGCAGGAAGCTGTGGTCTCTGCTCTGAGGGTCTGTCAAGTGGCCCATGTCTTCAGAGGGCAGCTGGGCCACCACACAGGGCCCGGAGGCCACACTATAGCTGGAGTCCCGAAGACTCATGTCCAAAACCAGAGGGCAAGAAGGGGGTTCCGCCACCGACGGCTCTGGCTCCTGGTAGGACTGTGGTGGGCAGAAGCCCAGGCTGACTGCAGAAAGAAGAACAGCCAGGTGAGGGGCTTGGGGGAGAAAAGAGGATTCAGTGGGGTTTTGGGAAGAGTTCCCTGGCAAGGAGCTGGCTGGAACCTAGAGCCCCCATCCCTCCCCTGCAGGTATGTGGCAGAGCAGCCCCCCCCAGCCCACTACAAGCTGCACCTCCCTCTTGCCCCATTAAGGTAATTACAGGTGACGCCAGCCAAGCGCCACGACCTACAGGTCTGCCCGCTGAGTAATTTGTGTCTTAGCGGAACTGGGAGGACGGAACCTGCCCTGCCAATTATCCCTCCAGAGTTGTCTGCCTGCCCCACCTGGGCCAGTCCCTCTGGATTCCAGGCCTCATCCACGCTCCTGCAGGGACAAAGGGCACCACTGGAGGCCCTGGGCCCAGGGACTCATCCCTGCCCCAGAAGGGTCCCTGGGTGGCCTGGGCCACTCTGGGCCTCTCCTCCAGGCAGATTTAGCTGCTGGCTTTGGGGGATCGGGTGCTCCTTGCCCTCGCTCTCCAGGCTGACCAGCCCCTGCTGTTTGTAGTCCATTAGGGCTCCAGGCTCCCTACTCCCGCTGGCCCAGCTTGGCAGGCAAACAGGCCAGGTGGGGTGGAGCAGGGAGGAGGTCAGGGAGCAGCAGGTGGATGCTACGTAACAGTCTCCTGGGCAGCCTGCCCAGCTGTTACGCAACCCTCCCCCACAGCAGGGACCGCTCGCTGTGGCACAGTGAGGGCTGGGCTCCCGCCCTCTGAGGCACCGATACCTGGCAGCCTTTGACACAACCGCTCCCCATGACAGGCACCTCACACTAAACGGGGCCGGGGAGGCTTGGCTCTAGTTCTGACTAGAGAGAGAAGCAACAAGAGTTCCGAGCGACACGGTGGAGACAAGTTTCAAAGCTGACAGCTGGGGCAAACAACCTAATATTTCAGTTTAGTCAGGACTTTTCTTCCAAAAAGGCTATGCTCTATACTTAAAACCATAAGCTAGGAAAGTTTCCAAGGGTCAGAAGGAAAAATCAAGAGGGCCTAGAAAGAAAGAATGAGTGAGCTTCAGGGAGAGGGACTTAGAAGGGTGAGTTAGGGTCTCAGACCCACAACAAGGACCTCTGGACCTCACCACCCATAGCCCGTATGACAGAGTGGTCCAGGCCCCACAGCAGGAGGGCTGCCACCCTCATCTCCTCTCCCAGGACACTGGTGAGGCCCGAGGTGGATGGGAGCCATGTGGGGGAAGACAGGGGAACATCCTAATGGAGGAAGGGTGAATATGAAAACGCCAAAGTTTCGGGAGAGGCCCCAGCGCTCGCCCCCTCAAAACACAACAAAGGTCTGACAGGGGAAGAATGCGCCAGCCCGCCGCCCAAAACCCGTTCTGCTGGCGCTGGCGTCCGTCTGTCCGGGGGACTTTAATGAGCCACCTCATTCTAGGAGTTGATTCACCAGTGCCTGGCCCTGGCCTGGCCTCTGAGCTGCCGTGGCCCCTCTCTAAGTCCTGGAAGTCTGGACGTCAGTCCCAAGCTCTCGGGGTCCCTCTTGCCTTCCTGCAGTGACCACCGTCTGTGCACATGGGGGGCTGAGGACAGGGGTGGGTCAGAGTGTCGGCAGCTTCTGATGCTAGTTTAGCAGCTATTGGAGATCTTGGCCAAGAATTCAAAGCTGAATGACAATTTCCATTTCTCAATCCAGGTGGAGACAAACAGGACCCTCTACCCTCTTCTGCCTTTCAGTATCGGATAGCGTGAATGAGGCTCCCGAAAGTTGGAGCTGGGCCACACCGCCCGCACATGGAGCAGCAGAGGGAGGAGTGATAGCAGGTGAGGGTTAACTGCTTGTCACTCTGGGATCCCTTGCTCCCATAGGTGGGGGTTTCATAGTTAGCACTCTACGCATCCAAGCCAGTTTGGGAGGAGACCTATTTCCTGTGCCCGCCTCTCCCATCCCACAGAAGCCTTGAAATGATGGTTCTGAGGAACTGGGGACAAAGAGTGAGCCTGCCTGATCTGGCCTCTATGCCACCTTTACCCTGAGCGCGGGGCAGCCACATGGCTGCCAGGGTGGGGACGTTTGCCTCATCCCAGTCACCCCACCAAACCTGTCCTCCCGCCACCCCCATGAGTGTGTCCCTAATGCTGCTGCACGCACAGGGAGTGTTCATCGGCGTGCTGCTCCTGACACAGAGTGGCAGGAGGCAGGAAGCAGAACTGGTTGGGCCCTGCCTGTGCAGCTCTGCCCCTAATTAGATGTTTCCGGCAAGGCGGTGGCTGCTGTGGCTACTCATTGCCCACCCACAGCTATGGAGTGTGGCAAGGCCAAACCAGCCTGGCCCTCTCCAGACTCCCTCGGGGGGTTCACAGGTTCCCCTTCTGTTGGCCTAACTTGCCTCCACCTGCCTGACATTGAGGACACAGGCCCGCGAATTCCCACCCGAGGGCCTTCCCCTCCCTCACCCTCAGCAAGTCCCCTCTCTCTTGGATGGAAAGCTGCTGCCCCAAATAAATACTGCTCAGAGTGCCAGGGCCTGCCCTGTCTAAGGCCTCAGGCAGGCCAGGGCTGGGCGTGAGGCCTGGTCTTCAGCTCTCTGGGGAGAGCAGGTGAAGCAGATGTGAGGATGCCTGGCCTCTGACCACCTGGGGCTGGTGCTGGGGCTGCCCTAGGGGTGGGGTGAGGGTTCACTCGGCTCTGAATGGGGTGGGGGGAGCCCAGTGTGTCAGCACAGCCCAGGTTGGTGTTAGGCGGCCTTACACCCTTATCAGCAAGGGCAGGGGTCCACTTTACCCGTCTCCTCCAGCCTCAGCAGGTCAGCTAGCAATGCCTGAAATGAAGCCAGTGCCAGCCAATTGGCAGAGGAGGCAGCCCTGGAAACACAATGGGTCAGTCTCTCGGCCTGGTGTTTCCATTCTGTGAACGCCAAGTTTTTCTCTCAGGCAGTATCTTTTCCCCGTTCTCCAACCGCTTTTCATACTGTGTCCATAATGAAGTTGAAACTGTGCACCTCAGCCCTCACACCACGGTGGACAGCCCTGACCGGCCGGGAACTATGCTTCTGTTTGCTTCCTTCCAGTACAGGGCTGGGCACCAGGTGGGACCCCATATAAGACTTACTGAAAGTGAACAGCGTTAAAAAGGAATGCTGACATTAACAAAGGCCACACTTTGTTCCCGTCCCCACTGTGCCCAGAGGACTTGACCTCACCTGCTCTCTTTCTGGGTCAAATGGTCTGGCAGGATTCTGCCTCAGGTCACCCAAGCTAGGGATACACAACTTGGTGGCTTGGGTGATTGGCACCCCACGGGACAGGTAGGAGTCCCATCTAGCCCACTGCCTGAACCCAAGCTGCTCCGCTGTCCCCATCCACTGTTCCAGCCTTGCTCCCTGGAGAGCATGGCAGACATGTCCTTCACTGCCAACACTTCCCAGGAATTATAAGAATCATCATCATCAGAGGCCTAACCTCTCCCCTCCCCCACACCTGTATTCTGGGGCCCAAAGCTGACTTTCTCAGTCTTTCTAACTCTGCCTGGAAAGAATGCTGCCCAGGTCCCCACACTGCCTAGTCATGGCCAGGCTGAGGCCCGTCTCCTACACTGCGGCCTGGCTGCCTCCCTGGGGTAGGCATGTGCTGATGAACTGGCAGAACAGACAGCAGAGGCTGCAAAGCCGAAGCCAGAGAGGGAGTAGCTGGGGCCTGGAAGAGACCCTGGGGTGCTCGTGGCTGGGAGAACGTCATTCCAGTTTCCAGTCTCAGTTTACCCTCAAGAATCTTTCTGGCCTAGAGAGACTGCACCCAGCAGGGGCTTGGAGGGCCACTAGGCATGTCCCCTTCAGTATATGCAGTGGAATTTAGCCCCTGGGTATAAGTGACAGGGTTCATCCTCAAGAAACCAGCATTACTCCCCTCATTCCACAGTCAATATTGACATAACAAAGGAGAAACGCCAGGGGAGGCCAGGGGAACAGAGAGGAGTGAAGGGCCCAAATAGGTAGCATCTTAACCTTAACCACAAAACCTTTCAATGTGCCCAGCATGAGTGGAGCCATCTCCTACCCCCTGAGGCCCTCCAGCCACTTCCGGGCTTTTCCATGGATTTGGATGAGGCCCAGGGGAAAGGTTCTGCACCCAGGGTGGGAACCTCTTGAATTGTGCCTCAGAGACTGAGGCTGGAGTGCCGGTCAGACTGGGGCCTGGAATCTCAGCTGCCAGGCTGGGGCCAAGGGCCTTCAGTCAGTAAAAAACCTTCCAGGCGCTCTCTGATGCTTTAAGGTCTCAGAGGGCCCTGGCGGGAAGGTCAGACGGCAAACACTTCCCTGTTCCCTAGCCCTCCTGGTGCCCCTCTCAGTGGGAACGGATGGGGTCAATGCTTAGCTGGTCACAACGTGCCCAGTCTATGAGGTGGGGTGAAGGAAACGTGCCCCACCAGCTCCAGGGGTCACAGTCGACCGGTGATGGATGGCCCAGCCAGGGGACAGGCCACCACACACACACCCCTCCACCCCCAGCCATCTGAGGCACCTGAGCGTGGCCCAAGAACATTCCATTTCTCATTTCTAAAAACTGGGGGAAAACTCTCCAGTGGGCCACATGGCTTTTGAGGCAAAATTAAGATCTTTAACTTCTACCCTTTACTTGACCCCACAGGACTCTTCCTCACTAGAGTGAGGAGGGCAAATTCTCACCTGTGCCTTCCAGGTTAGACCCCCACCCACCATCTGGGGTCCGTCCTGCAGAGTGAGCAGCCTGCAAGTCTCCCTCACCTGGACAGCAGCAGCAGGTGACAGACACCCAGAAAGCCCTCCTCTGCACCTGGTGGGACAGGCCCTGGGGTGTAGGTCTCCCCAACCATTCCACTAAGGCCACCAGAACTGTGGTGGGGAAAATCACTGGGACGCGAGGAAGTCAATGATTTCAACAAACGGAATTTCTTTGTCCTTTGTAAAAGTCAACACACAATCTGTTACTGATTGGGATGTGAAATAAAACGACCGGCACACTGAGTCTCGCACAAGGCTCAGCTCACCTTTACCACAGTCCAAGTGTAGTTTATCAGATCCCAAGAAGCAGCTGAGCAGCAAGTCAAACACAGGTGAGGGAGGAGGCAGGAGCTAGGAAGCTGCTGGCCTCACCAGGACCCTCTTGTCCTGAAGCACCAGCCAACTTGCCAGGGAACTTGGGGAGGCAAGAAACTCTCAACGGAAACCTGGGCCCACACCCTAATCCACCTCAGGTGAGGAGGCAACTCGCTTCCCATTTAGTCCCAGTCTCCCCACTGGAGCCTTGGGGCACAGTCCCTTGTTTTAAGGAGGATGCAGAAAAGGGGCCTCTGAGCTGTGAAACAACCCACCAGCGCCACAGACCACTAGATCCTGGAGGGTCAGGCCACAAAGATCTCACCGCTATACCCACTGTCTCCAAATGTAGTCAGTCAGGAGAGAAATTGAGGCAAGAGCCCTCACCAGGGCCCCTCACCGCCCTCATTTCGCCACTTTCTTACAAGGCCTGGGGCGGTGCCAGGGAGCCTGCGGATCAAGGGTCAAAGTCGGTTGGTTAATTACAATCACTCCCCCCTTGGAGGCGCTGAGCAGGGTGTTGGGCCGCATCCCCCGCCCTACCCCCAAGGCCTGGGGAGGGGGCGTTCCGAAGGAAACTGGCTTTCTCCAGGAGATTTTGATGGGGGTGGGGGAGAACCGAAGGAGCAGAAGCATTCTCAGGGCTAACAGGAAGATGCCCCTGCAGGAAGAAACTTGGATTACTCATTCAAAGTGGACTCGGACGCCGCCATCAAGGCGTTTTCCAAAAATAAACTGGGTGCACCAGCTTCCCCGGGCCTGGTCCCCTGGCTGTGCAGTGGCCTCCTTAAAACTTTCAGCTCATTTGTGTCCTCTGCAAGGCTGAAGGAAGAGCGTTTCTAACAGAGTTGAGACCTGATCCCACCTTTGTCTTCAGGGCAAGTGGGGTGCAGCCGGGTGCGTGCCCAACAGCCTTGACGCACCCCGCCGGCCCGACCCTAATCACGACCTTCTGGTCACCAGTGTTGTGAGGGAGAAGGAGATATCAATGAAGGCGGCCTATACCCTGAGTCTTCTCTTACATTTTGCACAAATCTCAGCCGAAACTCCATCTCGTTCCCTGCCCCCCAACGTGGTATCGCTCCAGTGCCCTCTTCCCGCCTCATAAAAGTACCGACTTTCTGGATTTACGACGTGAGAGTGGAGGGTCGCCTGAGCGGTGATACACCCCGTTGCCTACCCTGCGCTGCGGCTTGGGCCGGTGGAGGGAGGGCGGCAACGCGCGGACCCTTGCTCCTCGGACCGGCGGGGCCTGGGAACAGCTCTCGCCCGGACCTGGCCGCCCCCGCCCCGCCGCCCCCAGCCCGCGCCTCCTTCCGCCGCCCCCGGCCTCTCCTCCCCCTGCGTCGGCAGCGCAGCGAGCTAACGGGGCCGCGGCCGCTTAAATATTAAATCGGGCGCCCCGACCGCGCGGGCCGCGGCGTCCCGCATCGCTGCGTCCTACACGTCCGCCGCCCCGACGGGGCCCCAGGCTGGAGGGCGGCGGGAAGCTCCGGGCCCGCAGGCCGGCGACTCACCTGGCACATAGATCTCGCCGCGCTCCTCGTCCGGGAGCTCGCTCCAGTTCCTCTTGCACGTGGAGACGCACTGCTTCTTCACCAGAAATGCGCGGGGCATTTTCGAATCCTGCTCGCCGGGCACCGTCCGCTTCCGTAACCAGAGCTGGCGCTGTCCCACCTTTCCCGGGCCGGGCTGGAGGCAGCCGGGGGGAGGGGGCAGATCAGAGAAGGAGTCGCCAAAGCGTCCCTGCTCTTCTCCGAGGGACCGTGCCCGGGTCGGCGCGTGCCCCTTACCAACTCCGCTGAGCTGTCGCTGTCCTCCCTCCGAATGAGGTCCCCTGCAGCCAGGTGCACCGGGCGAGAGGGAAGTGGTTGGTAAGCGTCTCCTGGCTCGACTGGCGTACCCCACGGCCGCTCGGGAAGTCTTAAAGTGCGAGCCGGACGGACGGGTTCACGCTTTATTGGCTCGGGGCGGTGTGTGTTAGTGGCTGGGGCGGGGAGGGGGGTGATCTGAGCTAATTATCTTGGAGTGGCCCGGGGAGCGACAGCGCATGCGTTGGGAAATAACGGTGACAACCCACCTATTTGTTACCTGTCGAACCGGTTTCCATTCCGCTGCCGGTGAGGTGGCCTCGCGGCCTGGGCGGGGTGGCCGGGCGGGGGCGGGGGCGGGGGAACGGGCCCGGGGCACCCGGCACCCCGTTGCCCAGCCGGCCCAGCTGCCGCCCGCCGGGACCTCCCCGCCGGGGTGCAGCGATCGCCAACGGGAGTTTGGGAGTTTCGGAGGGAGCAGAAGGAAGGGAGGGGGTAACGTTATTTGCACCGGCGCTCGCACGCTCTGCGGGTGATGAAATGAAACTCGCCCAACTGGGCCTGGCCCGGCGCTCCCCGGGCGCTTGGGGAGGCGCGAAGCTGTCGGGCGGGAGCAGGCGGCTGGGCCCACACTTGTTGAACAGGGCCTGGGCCCAGGCGGCGCCGGATCCCAAAGCCTTGGCTGAGCAATTCGTGGTTCAGCCCAGAGGTATTTGCTAGGTGCTGGCTCCATACGGGAAGGCACGCAGGGGCCGCAGAAGCGCTCAGGCCAGTGGGCGGACGGACGGGTGGGGATGCATAGGACCGCAATACAAAGCCGAGAGCGCTAAGCGTTGGCAGGGGAAGTGTGGAAGACTTCGTGGAGGAAGGGGGTGTTTAAATTGCTCTGAGTTCACCGAGATCCCGAAAGACCCCAGGGCCTTAGTCATTGGGGCTTACACACCTGCAAAAACCCTCATCTTTGTGCCCAACGGTGGAATTTCAGGTGCAACTAGCCCGGAGGTGAGCCGAGGGCCGAGGACACCTGACAAAGTCAAGAACAACCTACTTTGCCTGGCTGCAGCCAGGACAAGCAGAGAGCTCAGGTCCGCTTCTCCCTATATCTCACCCTTAGCTGGGGTTCGGCCTGGAACCTCCACCCCCAACCATTCACCATGCTCTGCCCAGTCTCCAGGCCCAGTTGGAAGGAGGCTAACCCTCCTCAAAAGCCGAGAAGCGCTTGGTGGCCTCCTTGAGGCATGTCACTATGACATTTTGGCCATATCTTAAGCAGCTGACCTTGTCAGGGCAGGGATGGGACCCCTTCCTCTTTTTATCTCTCTCCCTGCCCCATATAAAATAAACATCTCAGAGTCTCTACCACACACACACCTTCCTCACATATTAAATGTTTGCTGGAACAGATTAGGAGGAAATGAGTCTGATAAATGAATTCACACAGTTCAAAAGTCTGGAGTCAAGGGCCGGCCGAGTGGCGCGATGGTTAAGAACTGGCTTGGGATGCCAGAGGGCCCGGTTCGGATCCCACATATGAGGGCCAGTGACACTGCCCTCCACAGCTAAGATGCTGAACAACAGCTCAACCTGTAGCTGGGCTGCCGTGAGTTGCCGGCCACAGCGTAGGCTGCAGCCCCTGTGGCCGTGGGTTGCCATGGGCTACCGTGTGTAGCCAGCAGCCAGCGTGAGCGGCCGTCCAGAAGCCGGAGACTGATCTGCCTCGCCCGGGAAGAGTGCAATGATGGTGCCAACTTGGGTCAGTGAAGCAACGTCCTCCACAACTAAACTGAAGACCAAAAGGACAGTAACTTGTCTGTTCCCCTTCCCTCAATTCCCCAGCGCTGTTCCCATCCCCCAATTCCCCAAAAAAAATCTTAAAAAAAAAAAAAAATCAGGAGTCAAAAGAGGGACAGCCTGTTGATGGTGGACTTTCAGGCATCTAGTCAAAGAGTTTAGTTTTTCAAGGGGGGACCCTTTCGGAGGCCCTTTACATTCCCCCACAGGACTTTTGTGCAGTGCCCCCTGGCTGGGTGGGGCAGTGTGGACCTGGGGAGCAAATGAGCCTCCTCCTCCACTCCTTCCTGGAGCCTATAAGTTTGGCCAAGGGGCTTTCCTTTCCAGCCTGTTTCCTGTCTGTCACCTGAGAATCTTATCACCTACCTCCTGGGGTCTCTGTGTGGGGGCTGGAGGCTCTGGCCCCCTCCCCCTTCCTTTCCCAGGGCTCTGCGTTTATGCAGCTCACATTGCCGTCAGCCTTCCACTTTTACCCTGGACGTTTTCATTCAACTGATATCAAGTGAGCACCTCCTATGCACTTATCTTTTGAATAAATCCTGGAAAAACAACAGTGACTAACTCAGTCTGTCTAGGAGAGAAGTGAATTTAGTTCATTCACTCAACAGATATTCATTGAATACTTTGGTTGTGCCAGACCCTGGCAAGGGCTGGTACACAGTAGGTGCTTAGTGAGTACTATGATAGTCTTCAGGGATGACCCTGGACACAAGAGGCAGTCTTTCTCATTGGGGGAGCAACTCAAATGTCTCCACTTGTTGGAAGAAAGTGACAGTGTTTGGAATGAGGCCCCAGGAGGGAGGGATACTCGTGGATGCTGCCCATGCTCTGTCTCCCTGTCCGCTGTGCCTGGCACATAGTGGGTTTGCAATAATATTTGTTGAATGAACAAATATCCATTTTTCTTGACTTATGTGGCCCATTCAGCTTTTCATGTTCCAACTTCTGGTAGAGGCCTGCATACAGAGCAAAGTTCTTTATTATAAGGAGAACAATAGTGCATGTTCAGTGATAAAAGGTGACTGGCACTGTCTGTCAGGGAGAGACTAGAGAGTGGTGGGGACTTTGGCGATGTGCACATCTAAAGGGACAGTGACAGTCATGTCATTCCAGCACAGACACCCAAGGCTGTCTATTTTCCAAAAGAAGCCAGAAATCCAAATTTGTATGTGAACTCTACCAATGTTTAATTGTTGACTCAAAAAAAATTTTTTTTTAATTGGGGAACAGCCATGGTCATTGGTTACACATTGCTTTCATGCTACAATGGCGTAGTTGACTTTTTTTTTTTTTGTATTTGTTTTTGTTTGTTTGTTTTTTGTTTTGTTTTTTAGCTGAGCCATCCTGCCACCTTTTGGCAGCTCAGCTGCAGCTCAGCTCGGGCCGGTCATCGAACCGCTGTTGCTCAGAGCTCAAACTCTTGAGCGAGCTCTTAACCAACTGAGCCACTTGGCCAGCCCGTAGTTGACTCTTTTAAGGAAGGCACAGCTCACAGTGGCCCATGCAGGGATTGAACCAGCAACCCTGGTGTTAGCAGCACCATGCTCTAACCAACTGAGCTAACCAGCCACCCCTCCAAAAAAAATTTTTTTAATATGGAATAAGTCAAACAAAATACCTTTGTGGGTCCGATTTGACCCATAGGCTGCTGCTGTGTGGTCTGTGGTTCATGGTCAGCTCTGGAACCAGACAATGTGTGTGAACTTCGGTAAACACCAAGCTAAACTTGAGCTCCATGAGGGGCAGGCACCATCTGCTCTTTTCACACAGTGCCAGTTAGATAGCATTCATTCATTTCTTAATTCAGTCAACGAGTATTGAATACCAGCATTATGCTAGGCACAAGGCAGAGAACTAAGAAAACTGTTAGTGTGACACAGGACTTTAGCGATGGGATAGTGACAGGTGGGGGGTGCTGAGGTCTGAATGGGAGCTAGGAGCCAGCTGTGCAGAGCAGGGAAGAGCCTGACCCACAGAAGGAACAGCTGGTGCAAAGGCCCCAGAGTGGAAGTAAGCCTAGTGCGTGTGTGAGGAACCAAAAGGCAAGGTGGCGGGGTCGTGAGGGAATGGAAGGGTGTGAGAACTGAGGCTGGAGAGGCAGGCTGGCCAGGTCACGTGAGGCGCAGTGTGGTGGAAAGCCTTGGGGTCTGCTGTGGGGAGACTGTCAAGAGAGGGGTGGTGAGGGCAGCAATAGGGAGACCTGTAAGAAGGCTGCTGTAATAGTCCAAGCAGGAGGTGATGGTGGCCTGAGCCAGTTGCAAACAGCCATGAGCACTGATTCTGGGTGTTCTGAGTGGACATCTCTCATTGGTATAGTGAACAAGAGTGTGAAAGAAGGTGGAACCCCACCAGACAAGTGAGGACCATGCTCCCGAAAGAGCGCTGGCTTGTCCCCATCTTTGGTGCTCAGCTCCCATCCCAAGCAGCCCAGGGAGAGCTAGAGCAGCAGCTGGATGCAGAGAGGAGAAGGTTTGGAATCGCCCCTTCCTGTTCTCAGAGAAGGCTTCCACAAAGAGCCGGATGGTGTGGAGGCTGAAGGCAGAAACTGGCTTAGGGGAGCTGAGATATACTGAGAGGACAAGCAGGAAAGAGCACTGGGCCAGTCAGGCTGCCCCAGACTCTTAGTTTCTGGGGACTTGGGCCAAGCTACCTCACCTGTTAAGGCCTCAGTTTACACATCTATGAAGTAGGGCTCCTACTTCCAGCTCTTTCCTCAGAGCTGTCTAGTGATGCTATCAATTTGTTCAATTTGTTTTTGCCCAGAAGCCTAGCAGCCCTTGAAAATGGAGTCTGTCTTAAAGTAGGCCAATGGTGCCCCGGGCCACCAAGGCCTCTGCTTGGCTCAGACAATGGCCTTTCCAGTTTGGCAGTAGCCCTGTGGGGGCTGCAAAGCCCCTAACAAACTGTGAAGTGCTGTAGGTGACTCTGACTCCTGCATCTCTTGCTGAATTTCTGCCCATGGGCCTCCCAGTCCACCATTAGGGTGGGCCAGGGCCCCTTAGGACCTGGCAGGGAGCGGGGGCTGCATGTGGGCAGAAAGTTCCTGAGTTGGAGCTGAGGGGGCGGGGGCAGTAGGCAGAGGAGGAGGCTCCCTGGGCCAGCTGGAGCCTTAGGAACCGGGCAGGGGGAAGATGTAGGTTCCTGTTGGAGGCCAAGGAGCTGGGTTAGGCTCACCACTGTGGTTGCGTGTCTGGCCTGCCAGACTTGAGTTCATCCTCACAGTTCCCCTAGCTGATGGAACCATCAGCCCCCAAGTACTCAGGGACAAAGCCCAGAGTCATCCCGCCTCTCTCTTCTCTCACCCCACACATCCACCCACTAGCAAGTCCTGTCAGCTCCCAAATCACTGACATCCACCCACACCTCCATCTCCACAGTTACCACCCTGGTCCAAGCGCCTGTCACATCTCACCTGGACCACATAACAGCTTCCTGACCAGCCTCACAGCTCCTCCTCATCTCCCCCAGCCGGCTGTCTCCCCTCAGCTCAAATCCTCCAGTGGCTCCCATCACAACTGGAATAAAATCCTCGAGGCCTGGCACACTCTGGCCCCTGCTGGTCTCCTGACCCTACGCTTGTTCTGTGTGTCAGCCACACTGTTTGCCCTCTGTCCCCTGAACAGGCCAAAGCCTGTGCCCAGCTTAGGCTTCTCCTCTGTTACACCTGGTTCCTGGAACACTTTTTCCTACATGATGGCTGACTGCCTGTTGTCACTCAGGCTTCAGCCAAATGTTCCCTCTTCTGAGAGGCCTCTGACCACCCCAACTAAATCCTTGTCCCCCCAGTCACCTCTGTCACTTTACCCTATTCTGTTTTCTTTGCAGCATCTTTTACTCCTGAAACTTTGGTTTGTCTTGTTTGTTGTCTGTTCCACTCTCCCTCTGCATAAGTTCTGTATACGAGGGACCTCTTTTAACATTGTTAGTCGCTTTATTTAGATAGAATTCATGTACATAAAACCCCTTTTAAAGTGCAATTCAGTGCCTTTTACTATCTTCACAGAGTTGTGCAAACATACCCCAAATGAAACCCCGTACCCATTAGCAGTCACTCCCCATTCCTCTCAACACCTGGGACTTACTACTCTTTCTCTATGGATTTGCCTATTGACGTATTCTTTTTAAAACACCCCTGTATCCCCAGTGCCCAGTGCTGTGAGGATGGTTGATCTCATCCCCCATTTTACAGATGAGAAAACCGAGGCTCGGGACCCCTCAGGAAACTGACTTTCCTTTTCCAAGCCTCGTGTCTAGTGTCTCCCCAGAACTGGGCTGCACTGGGGAGGATAAAAACTCAGCAGGAAGAGAAGGAATGAGGTGTGGGCATCAAGTGGGGTATTCCCTGCTCAGCCACCTGGCTGAGACCCACACCTGGGCCCTCTCTGGGAGGTCACATTCAGGAGCAGGCCTGCTGACTGTGGACTGAGGGAACATGCATGTCCTCAGTGCTGGGACAGACCAGGACCACTCTCCCATCAGGGAGCAGGGCACACAGATGAGGGCAGGGTCCATCCCAGGATCTGGACACCCAAGAGAGCTGAGGGCTGCTGGTGTGGGAGGAGGGTGAGGTGAGGGGCAGTGAGGGGCTGTGTGCTGAAGCCTGGTTCCACCACTTAGGAGCTCTGTGACTTTGGGCAAGTGACTGCATCTCTCTGGGCCTTTCTTTCCCCGTCTGTGAATGGTATCCATCCTGGGGTATCTCGGGGTTGCTGTGAGCCTGTCAGCCTGTGAGTCCATGTGGATGCACCCACCACAGCATCAGGTATCACATGTGGGTGCCCTCCCTTTAGACCCCGGGCCCTAAGGAGCCAAGGCTCAAAAAGGCTGGCGGCTATCAGAGGCTGAGCGGGGGCCAGAGCCAGCGTTGGATTTACTGACCCTTTGAAGCCTGTCTCCTCAACTGTAAAAATGGGTTTAATAATCATTCCTCCCTCCCTGTGAGTGGTGAGGGCTGAGGATGTGCAGTTATCAGCACCCTCTGGGCCTCAGACAGGGAAACCAGACAGGCTCCTTGTTCCCCTCCCAGGGCTGCTCTCATCCTGGCCTCTTTCATCTTAGGTTTAATTAGCCAGGCCGCCCCACCCCACAGCCTCTTGGGCGGGAGTCATCACTCCCATTTTATAGATGGGGAAACTGAGGCACCTAGAGGGAAGTGGTTTGGGGCTGCCGCCTGTGAGTCAACTGTGGAGCCAGGGCTCAGAGGAGCTGGGACCGGGCTTTCCAGCTGGACCTGTCCCTTGGGGTGGAGCCTTGTCTCCATCCCCCTGGCACCCAGATAGCCAATTTTCCAGCAACCTTACCACTTCATACCACCTCCCATCTGGAGGGCAGCAGGATGAGGTTGGGAGGGAGGAGCCTGTGAAGCCTGGAGCAAAGGAGAGAAACTAGTTGGCAGCTGCTAGCATGGGGGCTCAGGTCTGTTTCATCTTCAAAGCAGGCTAATTAGAGCCAGAGGCGTTAGTCAGGCCGGCGGGCTGTGGGGTCTGGACGCCTTCAGTTCTGTGCCCTGAAAACCTGCGGTCAGTGGGGCATCAGCAGCCTAGGTTCTAAGAGAGGCTACTGGATAAGGCCCTGCCCAGCTCCCTAGAAGCCCTGATCCAGCTCTCTGGAAGTCAACAGTACTGGGTTTGGGCACTGCTTGGCCCCAGGTCTTCCTCGGCGAGGCCTTGGTTTCCCGGTGGGTGCTAGGCGTGCGGTGCCTTGAGCGCCATGAGACACGCCAGGCCGTGCCAGTCCACACGTTTGCATCCCGTTGTTTTCGCCTTCGTCGTGGTTTATGGTCTTGCCCCTCCAGCTTTACCACGGTCTGGCTGTCGCGACCCTGGCCAACCGTAGGCGCCGCCTAAGGCAAAGGTCAGCAGTTTCCGCCCGCCGCTCCCCGGGCGCGGGCTCCGCGACCCCAAGCCTAGCGGGTGGGGGGCCCGGGCCGGCGTCGGAGACGCGAAGCCAAGCCCTGAGGCGCCAGCCCGACCGGTTCAGCGGGGCCACGGCGCGCACTTCCTGCGGGCGCCTTGGGACCGCACCTTGCACACCCCCCAGCGGCCAACCTGGGAGCGCGTGGACCCGTACCCCGCCACCCCCACGGGCCGCGCGCGGCTGGCGCAGGGTGCGGTGCGTATGGTCGCCGGCGTGGGGGCGCCGCTGGTCGCCATCCTCGCCAGCCCAGTGGGCGCTGTCCATCTAGGGCCCTGGGATCGCAGCCCGCGGGCGCAGGCGCGGAGGGACCCCAGCACCCAGGAACCGGGGCCACCCAACTCCACCGCCCCTGCCCGGGCCTGCGGCGGTTTCGGGGAAGGGGGGCCTTCGCGCATCGGGACAGTTACTCAGCCCCAGCGAAACCGGCGAGTCGGCACCTGCCAGCCTGGCGGGAGGAGGAGGTGGTGGCCCCGTTACCGCCCCGCCCTGCGCGGTGCCCGCCCCGTCCCGGCCGCCCACGCGCCTTGTGCCCCGCCCCTCGCCGCCAGCCCGGAAGGAGCCTGCAGGCCGTAGCGCCGCGGGAGGCTGAGTCAGGCGAGGTGAGTGCGACCGGCCCGTTACCGCGGGCGCTAGGGGCCGGGGCGGCGCTGTGGTTTCGGTGCCGGCCGCGGGCGGGCGGCCTAATGAGCTCTCGGCACGCACGCCGCGCCGGCGGCCCGCCCGGCGCCCCGCCCTTGCTCGCCTGCGTTTCTGCCCCGCGGGTACTCTGGCGGCCCGCCCCAGCGTCACCCCCCCGAAACCTCTCGGTTTCATCTAAGAACCCGGGCGCGGGGTCCCCGGTGGCGTCTTAGAATGGCCTAAGGTGGCTGGGATCTGTGAGGGGCCCTGAGGTGACCGTGGCCCCTTTGGGGTTGGAGCAGGGGCTCGGGCGCCCTCTAGCGGGTTCGGGGCCTGGCGCGTCTCGCGGCCGCCAACCTGATGCCCCCTCACCCCTCCCTCCAGGGACCTGCGCGCCAGACCATGGGGCCCTTGAGCCGGGAAACCTGGGCCCAGCGCCTGGGCGCCTTCCGGGACAGCCCGTCCACCTTCATGGCAAGTCCCGAGGGTGAGGATCTCGGTCGTGACCTGCTGAGCGACCTGAGGAGTGAGAAGCTGAGCGAGCCGACCAAGGTAGGCCTTATACACGCCCCTTAGCTCATCCCATTTGGTCACCTCAACCCATTGAGCCTTTAACCTCATCTTTGTAATTCCCACCCAAATCCACCATCCCCAGGTTTCCTTGCTGGCCCTGAGCTTGGAGTACCCAGCCGAGCTGTGGCCCGATGCCCCTGCAGCCGAGGCAGCCGCCACCTCCTTGCTGGACACCCTGGACTTTCTACCCCCACGGTCCTCAGTTCTGCGGCGGCCCCTGTTGCTGGCGGCCACCACAGCCCTGGTGGCAGGAGGCGCACTGGGGCCCACCTCGGGAGCCTCTCTCCGGCTCCTGCCCCTACTGCTTGGCTTGGCTTCTGGCCGCGATCTGGGGCAAGGTATTGGCCCTTCTTCGGAACAGCGCCCCCTGCAGGCCACGGCGTGCGAGTGCCTGCGGGAGCTGGAGAGTTGCAAGCCTGGGCTGCTGGGGGGTTGCCTGGGGTTGCTGCGGGGCCTGCTGGGGCAGGGGGGCCCCGTCCAGCCACTCAGCCTGCTGCTGGCACTTGCCCTTCGCAACACCTTGGTGATACAGGCTAGAGCCAGGGCCAGCCCACAGGGTCTGCTCACAGCCCAGGTCTCTCCCAGTGGGGATGGTCCCTGGAACTGGACACTAGCTGAAAAGGGTAATGCCCATCTTCAGCCCCAAGCGCCCACCTGGCCAGCAGCTGAGGAGGAAGAGTATGGCCTTTCAGCGCTAGAGCCCAGTCCTGAGGAGACCCAGGAGCTGCGGGCTGCCGTGGCCCAGCTTCTGGACACCTCATACCTACTCACTCCTGTGGCCCAGGCCCAGCTTCTTTGGCAGCTGGGATGGGCCCTGCGGGGTCTGCGGGGACAGCCACCAGTGCTCTTCAAGCCACAGTTGGTACGGCTGCTGGGCACAGCACAGCTGACTCTGCTGCACGCTGTCCTGGCACTCAAGGCAGCCTTTGGCGAGGCACTGTTCACGGCCCAGGATGAGGCCTTGCTGCTCCGCCGGCTCGTCTTGGCCGCCCAGCACCCAGCCCTGCCCCTGCCGGTCCATCTCTTCTACCTGCACTGCCTCCTGAGCTTCCCTGAGAACTGCCCACTGGGCCCCGCAGGCGAGGAAGCTGTTCCGCTGCTCCTAGAGCCCCAGCTGTGCCGTGGCCTCCTGCCCAATCTCCTGCTCGACCCAATGGCCCTCCTGGCCCGCCTGCATCTGCTGTGCCTGCTGTGTGCTGAAGATGAGGAAAAGGAGGAGAAAGGGCAGGGTCAGAGCCCCCGGTGCTACTTAGAGGAGCTGCTGGCCAGCCTGTGGCAGAGGGCAGCCCTGAATGGGGCCCCCCGGACCTTGGCCACGCTTTGCTTCCAGGCCTCATACCTGGTTGCTCACTGCCTGGCTGGGCGACCTACAGTGCTGACACCCTTGATTCATGGACTGGCTCAACTGTACCAAGCCAGGCCTGTGCTGGCTCCCCATTTTGTTGACCTCTTGGATCAGGTGGGCTCTGAACTGGGGGAGCCCCTAAGGGTGGTGTTGCGGCAAGAGGTGGTGTCCAGGCCAGGTGGGGATGAGGCCCTTCGTTGGCACCTGCAGATGCTGGCAAAGGTGGCAGACCGGGATGCCCAGAGTGCCACCCTCAGCTTCCTGCAGGCTGCAGCTGTTCACTGCACAGACTGGGGCCTCCAGCAGGCCCTGCTGCGGGTCTGCCGGGCGCTGCTTCGGGCGGGTGTTGGGGGAGGCCTGGCAGACTTGCTGCAGGCCCTGGCCAGGCAGCTGGAGGACCCTGATGGACGGGACCATGCCCGCCTCTACTATATCCTCCTGGGCCACCTATCAGGGCCCAAGCTGGGGGTGGCCCTAGGTCCCTCACTTGCTGTGCCTGCACTGGCTTCTTCACTGGTGGCTGAGAACCAGGGCTTTGCTGCGACACTGATGGTGCAGGAGGCTCCAGCCCCAATTCGGCTGAGTGTGGGGACCCGCAGAGCTGAGGGTCCCGTCCCAGTGCTGCAGCTCCAGGTAGAGGTGCTGGAGCCCGTGTATTCTCTGGAGCTGCGCTTCCGCGTGGAAGGACAACTCTATGCACCCCTGGGGGCTGTCCATGTGCCCTGCCTGTGCCCTGGCCGCCCCGCCCGCCCTCTGTTCCTGCCCCTGCAGCCCCGACGCCCGGCCCCCACACAGCTGGATATCCGTGCCCTGTATACCACACCCACTGGCCTCACATGCTGTGCCCACCTGCCACCCCTGCCTGTGAACTTCGCTGACCTCTTTCTGCCTTTCTCCCAACCCCCTGAGAGGGCCGCAGTGGGCTTCTTTGAGGAACTCTGGGACTCTTGCCTGCCAAAGGGCACTGAGAGTCGCTTGTGGTGCCCTCTTGGGCCACAGGGTCTGGAGGATTTGGTGTCCCGCCACCTGGAGCCCTTTGTGATGGTGGCCCAGCCCCCCACTAGCTACCACATAGCCATTCGCCTGCCCCCAGACTCGAGGCTGCTGCTAAAGCTGGAGACAGCCCAGGCAGACGGAGTGCCCGTGGTCCTGCGGACTGATGACTGTGCCGTGCTGCCCCTGGTGGGGGACTACCTCCGTGGGCTGGCAACGGCTGTCTGAGCCCCAAGGCCAGGCCAGGTGGGAACAAGACTCTGGCTCTCGTAGGTCTTTGCCTAAGAGGGGCTGCTAAGGGCCAGGACAGTCCTATGGCTCCTTTCTTTAAAAACCTACATTCACGCCGGCTGAGTGGCTCAGTTGGTTAAGAGCTCGCTCAAGAGTTTGAGCTCTGAGCAACAGCGGTTCAAGTCAGCCCGAGCTGAGCAGCCGTGAGCTGCCAACAGGTGGCGGGATGGCTTAGCTAAAAAAAAAACAAACAAACAAAAAAAACCTACATTCACCAATGACCCTCACTGGTTTGTTTTTTTCTGGACCCTGATTGGGGGCAGAACCACTGGGATGAGGGTCAGAAGCTCCAAGAAAGCTTCCAGGCTAGGAACCCTCAGGCTTCAGGGCTCCAGAGTTCCTTCCTACCCAAATAGTCTGGGGTTCTCCAGAATCCCTACCCAGGAGGCAGGAGAAAACACATTCTCACCTCTGCTTCCCAGAGGGTCTGGCCTTGCCCAAAGCCACCCAGCAATTTAGGAAGGAGCCTGGAGCTGGATTTGGGCCTCCTGACCCGTGGGCCAACATTTTTAAACTCCTGAGGTTTGCTTCAGGGATCTCAGGCTAGATGGAGTGCCAGCCAGAAACCGTGAGAGGAGGCAGCAGCCCCTTCCCTGGGGAGGGGGGCTCCCCCTCATGCTACGTGGATCGGAGCCAGCCCTAGGAAGGGCCTGCTGCTAGTTTTGAGGCTGAGAGGGGCCCCCGTGATCTGTGCTAAAACTAAGCTGGCATTCACCTTATCCTCTAGGAACCCTCATCTGTCAACCTAGGCATCTTCCCAGGTGAGAACCAGCCCCTTAGTTCTTATTCCAAATATGTAAGGTATTTAGGGTTCCATGTATTGAGCCTGAGGCCAACTCTGCTTCCAGGAACCAAGCCAGTGTTTTCCACATACATTGCCTCATTTCATCTTCGCAACAGCTTAGCAGGGCCCCACAGATGAGGAAATCAGTAGGCCAGAGGGGTTGAGTGATTTTCCTATGATCACCCAGCTGGTTGGTAATTGTGTTTTGTCATCCAGGAGCAGGTTTCTGTTACCACACTGTCAGAGCAAAGCTCTGCATGGGACCCAGAGTCCCCACCCTCTGCCCTGGGTCCTCCCCCAGGAGGCCGCAGTCAGCAGTGTCGGGTGGAGAATGAGCAGAGCCTGAGGCCTTACTGCTCTGGGGGAAAGGGCCTCTTTTGCACGTGCCTCCTGGGCTCCCAGCCCACAGATTCCTGTAGGCTAGTCTTGCCCCTCCTGATGGGCGGGCTACAAAACGAAAGAAGGGCTTGGGATAAGTGGGGCTGTTACAGGTCAGGCCAGGAGGCCTGTCCCAAGCTTGAGCTCCAGCAGCACATTGCTGTGTGATCTGGACAAGCCATTGCCAAATCTGGAAGAGTTTGGTTCCAGGAAACAAATTTCTCCAGCTGTTTGCAGCAGAAAGGGATTTAAGACAGAATTGGGTGCTTACAGAATCTCCGGGAAGGCTGGAAAAGTGATTTTCCAGAAGGCCACCACTAGGACTAACAGATCATACTGCCCTGCCTGCGGCCCAGCTCCTCTCAGCACCCAGGAAGCTGGGCCCGGATCCTGGAACATTACACCACTGCCTCTTGACCCCCACAAAGCCAGAGAGCTGATGGTGCTGCAGAAAGACTGAACCTTCCACAACTGGCAAATGGCCTCGGCCTTGTTTCCTCCATCCATATCACTCATAGGGCATCTAATGAGTGGAATCTGTTTCTCACACAGACCTCTAGTGGCCAAGGAGTTAGAAAATGTACTTGTTTTCTTTTTAACCTCAGGTGCAGAAGGTAGTGTTAATCACCTAAGACTAAGATGATTGGCCCATCCATGTAAGGACTCATCAGCCATCCTTTTGTCCATCTTTCCATCCATGCCTCCATCCTAGTGTGTCCACCCACACCTCCTGTGCTGGGCACCAGGTGACCTCCAGTTCCCCCCCAGCCCCACCATCACACGTGTGCCGCAATGGACATTCTTACAGACCTTTGTGACAGTTTACCTAAGATACATACCAGGAGCAGAATCACTGATCGTAGTGTATGCACGTGCTTAATTTGACTAAGATGTCAGAGTAGTTAGTTTTCAGCTATGCATCCTCTCAGTATGGGAAGGCATGCTAGGAGGTAAGGGTGACTCTGGGTGAGCCAGCCCTCGATACCCACCACAGTCCACCCCTTTGCATGCTCAGAATCCACATAACCATTGCTCCTACTTAAACTTCCCAAAGATCATGAGAACAGCATGCTCCCACATAACTACCCTTCATACAACCAAAACTTACTAAAAGGGGAGACCCAAAGCCCCCTCAGCCACTGTCCACCTGTGTGGACATTACCAGTGTTCACCAATAGCCAGTTCTCCACTTCAGGCATGCTCATACCCTTCCCCACCTCCTAGAGGTTAGGCCAGGCCATGCAACTTGGCTCTGGCTCATGAGATGTGAAGAACTGGTTCTGGGATGGGACATTTCACTGCTGGCACTCAACCTTCCACCCCTCTCTCCCCTACCGTGGAAGCATACATTAATATGGAGGTGCTGAAGAGTTGAGTCATAATTTCACCTTAATACACTATAACAAATGCATTGGATTATGAAGTTAATCATCAATAACACCCACTTTATATGAAACAAGGAAAGACATGCGGAAGGATATTGGCTAATCTATATTTTACTTGCAAGGAAGAAAAGTATTGTGCAACAAGCTACAAGACAATGATGAGGGCTTCCAGCTTTAACAAAAATATCTTACAGGATGCCCAGTTACATCTGAACTTCAGAGAAACAACTAATTTTTTTTATATGGTCTATGCAATGTTTGGGACATACCTAGACTAAAAAATTGTTTCTCTGAAGTTCAGATGTAACTGGGCATCCTGTATTTTATCTGTCAGCCCTAGTGGGATATTTATAATTTAATTGTCCCACTACCCATTTATTTTTATTTTATTTATTTATTTTTTTTAGCTGAGCCATCCTGCCACCTGTTGGCAGCTCAGTGGCAGGGAACTCAGCTCAGGCTAGGCATCAAACCGCTGTTGCTCAGAGCTTGCACTCTTGAGCGAGCTCTTAACCAACTGAGCCACTCGGCCGGCCCCCCACTACCCATTGTGTGTTTCTTTTGTCTTTCAGGGATTTACCTAGTAGGGTGACCTTTATGCCTGAAGGGTCTAAGCCATTGGTAATCCTACCCATATTGAGTCTCTTTCATGTAGTTTTTCATGAACATTATCACTGGACCTGTCAGCCCTTGGAGATGTCCCAGGGAATCTCCTGAGCACGACACCCCACCCTGTCTCCGTTGTATGGCAGCAACAATTTCTTCCTTGACAATCAGGGTCAATCTCCCTTATAGAGCTGTTGGTTCTGAGGCATCAAGATGGCAAGATGGCAGGCTTTGCTTCCAGTTCAAAAGAACCAGTGCATTCTCTCTCGGGTACTAAGGACTAAGGAAGGATGGGAAGCAAGTACTTTGTGAGAGACTTCTAGGTAGCTGAAGACTGTGGTGGCAGTGTAGATCATCTCCCCTTGAAAAGCAACATGGAGCAAAGAGGAGAAAAAGATAAAACTACATGAAAGCAACCTTCAGTATAGCCTGGAGACACAGAATGCTCAAACTGTAAGTAAAAACAAAGCAAATGACAGCCATCCTCCTGGTCCCAGCCCATCCTGCGATGGGCTCTGGGCAAGCAAAGACAGGCTGAGAGAAACTGGGGAAAACAGAAGAGGGGAGTCAGGAATGGGGCCTACGCTTGAGCTAAGACCACACCAGAAAGACTAAGTCTGAAAATGTTAAAAAGTGCCAGGGCAGGGGGTAGGACTTGGACTACAGGGAAGGGATTTTTAAGTATACGTGCAGTTTGAAGGAGCAGTATTTGAAACACGTACATTCTGAGGAAACAAAGCAATGCAAAAAGGAAGACTTGCCATTTGGATGTGAAAGGGGAGGTAAAGGGAGAAATTTTATGGTTCTGCAAGACAACAAAATCTGAGGACCCACAACTCCTCCCCCACTCTACAAACAAATCCATTAAAGTATTTGGACTTTGCAGTGTTGACAGAGAACATGTAACAGGGATCTTATAAAACACCCAACACACAAATGAACAAGATAAAGAGTAATAGGTTCATGCAGAGTTATTGCAAAATATCAGAAAATGAACTTCATCACATATCAACCAAAGAAAATTCACACCCCTGGAAAAACAGCCATGAAATAGAAGAAAGCTGTAGTACAACACTTTTTTTTTTTTTTTTTAGCTGAGCCATCCTGCCACCTGTTGGCAGCTCAGCTTGGGCCAGGAATCAAACCGGAGACCCTGTTGCTCAGAGCTCACGCTCTTGAGCAAGCTCTTAACCAACTGAGCCATTTGGCAGGCCTCTGTAATACAACACTCTCAAACAGAATGAAATATACTCAAAACAAGCATGTGAAGCTATGCAAAACCACCTTGGAAAGAACAAAAATAGACAAAACCCAAGTAGAAATTAAAAGAGAGTTGAACTCAGGAAATAAAAGAAACAGACAAAATTATCTAAAAATAAATGCCCAAGGAAGAATATAATATAATAAGGGGCATTGAAGAAAGAAACAATCAAGAGAATGAAAATGAGATAAAGTAGAAGAGGTCACAAGAAAGTAATGGAAATAGAAGAGAGTCAACAAAGAAATCATATTTGTATTATTAGGTCTCTGAAGAAAAACCAAACGATGAACCAGTACTTATATTTAATACTGTAATCTAAGAAAGCTTTCCAGGAAAGAAAAACCTGCACATTCAAAGGGCTCACTGGGAACTTTGGGAAATTAACCCAGAACAGTCAACTTTGAGACATATCCTCATACCACTATTAGATTTCAAAGATTTTTTTCAAAAATATCCCCAAGATCTCCAGGCAGAAAGATTGAATAACTTACAAAGGTGAAAGAACTAGAATGGCAACATACAAAGTTCTTAGACAACACTGGAGCAGCATCTTTTAAGCAAATTTAAAAAGTGTAAATCTAGGCTTTTATATTCACATAAATGGTTGTTCAGTGTTAAGGCTATAGGAAACAGTTTTCAACAAGTACTTACCCACGAGCCAATCTGATAGAGATGCACTTCAACCA